GCGGGTGGGGAAGCATTTAGGAACTAGAGGAAAGTTGTATGTTTCATTGTTGTTACACTGCACCCTGACTGGCTCGTCTCTTCCCCGACACCTGGAAGTGAGTTTTAAATGGAAGCCAAGAATCCTCTAGTATATGGCAATTAAACAGTCTGAGTCCTTCCAAGTAAGATACACAACTCTTTCCAGAACTCTGGGTCATCCTCACCACTGTGGGGAAGGCTGAGCCTATTGTTCCAGCCGAGGTGTCAACCCATCTTGTTGAGGGTCTCCCTCATTGGTGCTGCCTCTCTGTTTTACCAAGCATGATGTCCTTTTTGTGACAGTCCTGTTTTATAGTCACTATTTACTTACAACATGGTCAGGTGGAGTTCCAGATATTTCTGTCCACTTCTGACTCAAACTTTTTTTTGTTGTTGATCCTTGGTTATACTCCAAGAATTGCTTTTTAAAAACCGTTTTATTGGCATCTACTTCACATATCATACAATTCAATAGTTCAATCACATCAAGAAGAGTTGTACAATCGTCACCACCATCGGTTTTGGAACATTGTCTTTGTTCTTGCACTCATCATCATTAGCTCCCCTTTGTCCCGCAGCCTCCTCTGCCACACTCCCAAGGGACCTTAATCTAGTTACTGCCTCTATAAATTTACCTATCCTTGATTTCACATGCCAAAATAAAAAGAGAAAAGGAAAACTAACAAGAATTACAAAGTAAGTTTCATTATTGCTATACTGAACTCTAAGTGACTCATCTCCTCCCCACTACACCTCTGCAAGGTATGTCCAGTTGTCTAGAGATGGGCATTGGATCCCCATCACGCGCCACCCTCATTGACAATGATATGATTCCCACCCCCCACCTTTGGTGTTTGAAGCCTGGTCCCTTCGGGCCTTCATGATCACACATGTTGGAGTGCTGCTTCCATGTGGGCTTTGTTGCTTCTGGGCTAGATGTCCACTTGTTTACTTTCAAGCCTTTAAGTCCCCAGACACTATAGGTCTCGATAGCTGGACACCATCAGCCTTCTTCACCACACTTACTTATGCACACATTCGTCTTCAGTGTTTATGTGGGGAAGGTGATCACACAATGATGGTTTTTGTTCTTTGGTGTCTGCTACCTGATCCCTTCAACACCTCATGTTTGCACAGGCTCATGTGCTTCTTCTCTGTGGGCTTTGTAGCTAAAATGAGAACTTGGAAGAACAGACATGTTGAGCAATACTTCGAAAGAATTTACTATGGAATGTAAGGAAAGCCTTATCCCTTGTCAAAGCTTCAAGCACTTCAATGATGAATACATTTGTGGCAGTTACATCATCTCCCATCAACTTGAGCGAAGGAGTGAAGTCTAGCCTGTCAATCAGGTCATAGCCAATGGTGCCTCTGTGTGGGCATGGCTTCCCCAGAGGATTCTGGGAACTCCTATCTTCCTCCCTGGAGGCAGGACACACACACACTCTCTCTGCTTCATATTCTGTTGACAAGTCACATGCAGCTATGCTGATGACAGCCAGAGCCCTGGGACTGGAGGAGCCACCTGAAGAGCTGTGCCAGCACTGAGATGCTTCCACAAGACTTTCCACCCACTGATCTGTATCTTCCTGCATTTAGCGTCATTGCACATGCTGCATGAGTCTGTAGAAGAATGTATGGACTAGTATCGGACATATGGGCTAATATTGGACATATGGGCTACTATCGAACTTATGTACTTGATCTGGACTGGGCAAGGATGTCTTCTTAATATACAATTACCTTTTGTAATTACTTAATATATGATTATTCTTTGATATAAAGTTCTTTCCTATACAAAAAAAAAAAGAATTACAAAGTAAAACAGATTTAAAAAATCTCAAAAAAGAAAGCAGAAAACATTAAAAACTAGAACAAATTTAAAATCGATCCAAAGGGAGATCAAATCATAAGGAATTAAATTTTAACCTAACTGCAAGCAATAATTCACTTTCCAGTACATTCTGCATGGTAGCAAGGCTATTCACACCCCTGGTTTATGGCTAGAGGGGATTCACCAGAGGCTTAAATAATCTGTTTCACCTTCACTTTTTAAAAAAAAAACAGAAACAACCTTAAAATAGGTCAAAAGAGAGATCAAATGATATTACATTTTAACCTAACTACATCTACTATAATCTACTTTACAATGATCACTAACAAGGCTATTCACATGCCTCAACTATGATTAGAGGGAATTCACCAGAGGCTTAACCTTTGTGTGGATCCTGTAAATGGATTTTAGATTTCCACTGTCATCCATAGCCTTCTGCAAACCAGATGGTCACATTTTAAGCTCTGATAATATCCCCTCCTTTGGATTTGGATATTATTATTCCCATCCTTGTACCACACAGAAGTGTATTTCTTCCGTAAAGATATAGTTGCAACCTCACTTAGGAGTAGAAAGCCTCATCTCTCCCCAAGAAACTGGCTAGTGGCCTTACACTACTAACCCTTAGACCAGCAGGTCAATACGCAACCACTACACATTAAGAATGTCATTAGTAAAAAAAAAAAAAAAAAGAATGTCATTAGTTTAGCCAAGGGTATAGATTGTAAAACACTGTTGAGAAAAGGTAATTATATGATTATAGGACAGCTACAAACCATGACACATGAATTGCTTACTTGTGTGAGAAATAAATCCCAAACAGGTCCACGTTCAGTAATTAAGGCAACAAAAGGCTATGAAGTTACTAATAGCCAGAGATCATTTGAGTTGGATTCATCAAAGGAGCCTAGGGGAAGGGAATCTGTCCCAGAGGTAGAAACTTTAAATTAAGGAAGTACGCTATGGCCAGAAAGACTATTAATCTCATAGTAATTACCCAGGGAAGGACTGGAAAACTAGGAAATTACACAGGGAAGGACTGGAAAACTAGGAAGTACGCTTTGGCCAGAAAGACTATTAATCTCATAGTAATTACCCAGGGAATGAATGGAAAACTAGGAAATTATTGTTGGATGTGTCCACCCATTTTGTAGCCTGAGGCTTGGGTGCCCGATTTTGCCCGATTAACTAATAAAGCCTTTCTCTCTCTAAAGTGAGTACAGATTAGATTTCTTGAGGATCTTGCTTACCCCTCAGTAACTTAACATGGGATATGGTGGTTCTCCCCAGCTCTCCCTATGGAGAACAATCCACGTACGGCCCAAGTTGAGGGGGTTTATATTAACCTGCCATTTACCAAGAGGAACTGAGATGGCATAGGGTTTCAACGTTTCTCACACAGATTAAACTCTTAGGTGACTGGACATTATTTACACAAACAATGGGAGTTGGCGATAGGGCAAAGCATTCAGTAATATTCACAATGGCAGACCCAGGCCTACCAGAGTAATAAATATCATAATGTAGCAAGGAAGACATTAAAATAGTAAATATATGGTAGTTCTGGACCACCATTCTTTGGGCACCCTCAAGGTAAGAGATTCAAACCAAAGTCCAACATCCACCAATTCTACGCCCTCGGGCTAGCAGTCACCTGCTTCTTCTCACACACCCTAGGGAGTTTCAGCCTTATGTCTAAGGGCGGCAGGTGAGTTTGAGAAAAAGGCCAGGTCACTTAGTGGGGTTTCCACACTGAATCCTTTTGGTGTGGCCTATGAAGGATGTGTGCACCTCGAAAGAACAGAGTCCAGAGTTCCAGTAGCCTGGGACAGAGCAAGGGCCAAGGCCCACATAGACATGAGAGCACAAATGTCCAGTTAGGAACACAGTACCAAGTATAATCTCCCCTTGTGTTCTGTGAAAGTATTGTTAAGCATTTTTTCCCCAAACGGAGGTGGCTCCTCCCCTGTTTTCCTACTATTCTTGCCTTCTCCAAGACATACATGCCTCCCTCCCACCATTTTGACTTGCATTTTCTGTAAGATTTCCTTATCATTCCGGTAAAAGTGTCTGTTGGATTGGGGTGACCTTAGTCCAGTTTTGTATGGCAGCAACTGAAGGATCTCCCTCTTCCCACATCTTGAAACAGTCACCCCAGGTGAGGTGGGTTTCTAAGATGTACACTTAGAGAGGCGGAAATAGGTTTCATGTCTCTTGTGTCTCCTTTACCAGTTAGTCAGTTGTCTTGAGCCCCCATGTAAAAGGAGCACCACAGCGTAGGCCATCTTCCACCTGGACCATAGCCCTCCCCCTGTGAGGGAACCCCTTATTCTTTGCAAGACCTGACCGCTTATACACTTCTCCAAGTTTGTATTGTCAGAGTCAATGGGAGAAGTTTAAGTCTGAGCATTTTCTGACACTCAGCCCTCAGGAATACAACCTTCGACCAAAAGGCAAATGATTGATCAGCATGGGAGGAAGCCAAAGCATACCAAAAGGTTCTCCTTTAGGATGTTTGCTAAAACAAGGACCTGACCTACCAACAAATAGGAGATGAGGATAATTTTGTTTCCTGCAATACTGTTTGGCCCCAACACCGGCTAGGTGACCAGGAGCAATGGCCTATTAAGAGTTCCATGCCTATAACCCTATCCTACAGGGAGACTTGTTTTGTAAAAGGTAAGTGGTGATGAAATACTGTGTGTTTACATATTTAGGCATCATACCAGAATCTGGGTTATAGGAAGGGACACAGAAGAGGGCTCACTAAGCAACAAGCCTTTTCAGGGTTTTATCCAGAAACCCATAGTCTCAGGAGGGGATTTATAGACAGACTCTCTTTTCCAAACTTCCAGAAGGCTCACCTCATCAGTTCTGCCAGAGGTTCCTTTCTCCAGTACCCAAAGTATAGGGGCAACTCTGCTGCCTGATTCCTCAGGAGTCAGATGACCGGAACACTTTCCATAGACTGACAAAGGTTCCAGTCCTGGGAGCAGGACCACTGGCAGCTCCACTACTGCCCTTTCTCCCAGTGAAAGGTCTTCACATATGGGATTGCATTCTGGGAACAAACTGTACCTCCCTTTATTTCCAAACCCAACTCCTGGATTACATACACCTAGAGAATTGTCCAGTGGACAAAGACACATTGTAAGAGTATGAGGGGATACCTAACAAAACAAAACAAAACAGAATTCTATTGTCAAAGCTAGGTATTTGCATTTTTTTTTTTTACAAAACAATCTCATCACTTTCAAAGTATTCTCCATTATACTTAATACATTTGTCAAATCTATGATTCCATTCTTGGAAACATTTTTCAAATTCATCTTTTTGGATGGCTGACAGCACCCCCCCCCCTTGTTTTTCATCACCACTTGTACATTGTCAACTGCTTTTCCTTTTAAGTCCCTTTCCATTCGATGGGGGAAAAGTGCATGCAAAAACTGGTACACGGAAATGGCTGCATGAGCAGATGCATTGTCGTGGTGGCAAAACTAGTCCCTGTCTCCCATAAATCAGACCTTTTTTGTCACACAGTGTTACGGCAGACTTTTCAGAACCTCTAAATAGAAAGCTTGATTAACAGTCTGACCTGGTGGAATGAACTCCAAATGCACTATAAGTCAACATTTTTGCTGTTTGGGAAATTGACAGATGTCCAGAACAAAGATTTTCATCAATCGACATTTCACCTTTTTTGAAATGACAAAACCATTCAGACACTTGAGTTTTTCCCACAGCGCTGTCTTTGTAAGCTGTGTTAAAAATTGCAACAGTTTCTGTAAAATTTTTTTTCCAAGCAGCAAACAAAATTTCACGGCTGCACGCTGTTCTGGTAAGTTGGCCATCACAAAAAACGAGGTTCAAGTGAAACTTCTTTTATGTGATCAGAGAGAACCAAGTCAGAACAAGTTCCTTGATGCTTGCCTACTGGGAAAAATGAGTACTATGAAAGCTCTGCCCAGTGAAGTTTTTTCCGGGGTGTGTGTGTGTGTGTGTGTGTGTCCCCTCATACATGTTTCCTTCTACTTTTTGATCTCTTACCTCAGTCACTGTAAGGACAGACTGAGAAACATTTCAGAGGACCCAGACAAAAAGGGATGCATTTGAGCCTGAATTTGAACATCAACTGGAATGATTTGAAATTATTCTTATCCACTGATTTTTGTCATATGAGAATGATACAATCAAAGTAGAAGTAAAACGGTATGTGTGATGGTTATATAATCTGTTGGCAATTTAAAACTTAAGAGTGAGGGGGTGGAGTTTAACTTATCAATCAGGTCGAAGCTTGATGACCCCATTTGGAGGCGCAAAGGAGATAAATAGTTCATAGGAGGTGGGATACACCCTCAGTCCCTGCTAGGCATTACTGATGATGAGCCTGATGGAGCTATGCTGATGCAGCCAGAGCCTTGTGCTGGAGGAGCCACATGGGGAGCCCTGCCAGTGCTGAGATGCTTACATCGCCACTAGTTCCACAAGGCTTCCCACCCACTGGCCTGTGATCTTCCTGAATTTGGCATCATTGCATGTGTTTCATGAGTGTGAAGAGGAATTAATAGACTGGTATCAGACATATTGGCTAATATCAGATTTATGGACTTGATCTAGACTGGGCTGGGATGTTTCCTCAATGTACAATTTCTCTTTTATATAAAACTGTTTCTTATACACATATAAGTGTCCCGGATCATACTGCATACAACCCCAGAGGAGAGGCTGTACCTGAACAGGAACCCAAGTGGAATTATAGTTTGAGCATGGGCAAGGAATAGTGGGGAAAACACTTGATACACATACTTGAAGGACTTTGCCGATCATCATCCTCAGCTCCATGTCTTCCCAAGTGCCTAGGTTAGACCCACATCTCCTCGACCACATGACCTGAACCCATGGCTCCCATGCCAGCCTGTACTGGACTCACAGCAACACCACCAGCCCAGCATGACATGGCTCAGTAACCTGGATACTGTTACCAACCTCAGCCTATTCTGAGGCTTTCCACTGCCACCAGCCACCAAGCTGCCATGACACCTTGCCCAGTAGATCTGCACAGCACCACCCTCACTGCCTGCAACTGCCTGACCTGCGTTGCCCAAGAGGGTTATCCAACTTGCCCTCCAAAAAAATGAAATTCTGGCTGGCTATGGAGAGAATGAAACCCCACTGAGATAAAGCATTAGCCTGATACCCTAGCACAGTTGGAAACAGTCAGTCTTCAGAATCATTCTTATGGAGTCAAAGAGAAAAATGTCAGGGCTCTTTGACTCCTAGAGAAATGGCACCAAGCTCCTCCAAAATGACACATAGACTTCAAACTGCCTCAACATCCTCAACAGGAATAAAAGAGAAATGAAATGAAATGTTGGAGGAAGTCCTGAAACTAATGACATGCAGAGAAGAAGCAGAGTTGATGTGTCACAAAAAGAATTCTTCAGAATGCTGCTGGGAGTCATTCAGAATATGAGAGAATCAATTCAGAAAAAGGATGAAATGATCAAGGAGATAAAGTCTACATGTCAAAGGGAAAAACAAGAGTTAAAGGATGAGGTAACAAAAACAAAGAATAAAATAAAGACCTCCCCAACAGACTAGAAGTGGAGAATTGTACCAGTGATCTTACGGTCAATCAGGCAGACTTCAACGAACAGGAAATTAAGTCAAACAAGATAATAAAAAAGCTAGAGAAAACTTGAGAACAATGATTGATGCTATGAAGAGGACAATGTCCCAGTATGGACAAGACACAATGAAGAAGTCAACAGCAAAATCAGCAAGGGCATTCCTGGGAGAAAACTTCCCCAACTTAGTGAATGAGAATCAGACAATCATTCTGGAAGTGGAGCTGACACCAATTAGATTAAACACCAGGAAGGATTCACCCAGGCACATAATAGTAATAATTATCCAACTTTGTTGAAAAGGAGAAGATCATAAGAGCAGCTAGAGAAAAAAAAGACAGTCACATATAAAGGTACTCAGATCAGAATATGCTCAGACCTATCAGCAGATATTATGAAGAGGAGGGGAGAGTGGAGTAACATCTTCCAAAAGTTGAAAGAGAACCATGCCAATCCAAGAATCCGTTATACCGCCAAATTTTCTATCAAGATAGATGGAGAAGTAAGAGTCTTCCCAGACAAGGAAAAAACTCAAAGAATACATCAAACGAAACCCTGCTTTGCAAAAAATTCTTGCAGATTCACTGTGGTCAGAAGACTAACATTCACTGGGATCAAACAGGAGACCACTACATAGTGCAGCTCCACCCAGAAGTCACCACACTGTAAACAATCCCCAAGATAACATAGCCTCATGGTGAAAAGACAAGAATGAAGTCCCCCACACATACACAGCACACTCATGAGGAGGGAGGGAGGAAAACACCCAATAGAAAATGAACGAGATGACAAGAAAGAATCCACAGATGGGTATAATATCTCTAAATGTCAACAATTTAAATTCACCCATTAAGAGACAAAGGATAACAGACTGACATAGAAAATATAACCCATTAATATGTTGTCTAGAAGAGAGACATCTTAAGCTCACAGACAAAAATAGGCTGAGAATTAAAGGCTGGCAAAAATATATATACCAAGCAAATGGCAATTTTCAAAAAGCAGGGGTCATAACCCAAATCTCTGAAAAAACTGATCTCAAGGTGCAAACCATAAGAATAAATAAGGATGGGCACCATATAATGCTCAAGGGATCAGTAGACCAAGAATAAGTGAACATAATAAATATAAACGCACCCAATGAGAGACCTATGAAATTCATTGATCAAATTCTTCAAAACATGAAAAAAGAAATCACAGACTCAACAATCATAGTAGGTGACTATACTGCTTGCTATCTGAGAAAGATGGTTCACTGGGAAAGAAGCTCAACAAGGAGGCTACAGATCTAAACTCTACAATTAGGCCACTTGACCTGATAAACATTTTTAGAACTCGCTACCCAAATGCAAAAACAATTTCACATTCTTTTCAAGTGCGCAGGGCACAATTTGAGGATAGACCACATGCTGGCACACACATTGAGCCTGAGAAAATTTAAATACATAGAGGTTACTCAGCTGTCCCTCTCAGAACACCATGCCATAAAACTGGAA